AAAGGAAAGAGATTGATGCAACAGTGTGTACTGATACCCAAAATGTAGGAGAGTTGTAGGGTGGTAATGGGTAGTCTTGATCTGATGTTAGTGACAGTATAGAGGGGACCTGAAGGCTCAGTGAGGGGACCCAGGCTACAACTATCCTACACAACAGAAATACAGAATGTGAGTACTAGAACATAGTCAGAACTTGCAGAACAGGCAGAGAGAGAGAGTGAGACAAGAGTAGGGTATATAGAGTGAGCCTAAGAGTACAGGACTACCTGGAGTAGACAAGATCAAGACTACAGGACTAGTCTGATCTTGTACACCTATATATACTAAACTACACAAGAGCACTCAGGGAGCATAAGCCACTAAGAATGATGAGCCACAAAGAATGAAAGAAAGGAATGTCAAAGATAAAGGTACAAAGAATGAAGGGATGGATAAAGGGTAAGAGACTATAGAATGATACAAAGAATGAAGGGGTGGTCAAAGGAATGGAATGATGAAGTAAGGAAGGGTAGTGGCAAGAGTCAGCATGCATATAGTTCATAGACAGTGTCCCTGAGGGACAGAAGTCCTGAGTTCCAGTATGGAAGGGTGCAGAACCCTTGGAACTGAAGGTGTAAGAGTGGAGAACTGTAACATCATGCCCTACCCTTAATTTTTGCCTGTTGATTGGGCTATGACAATACAATACCTTCTGAACTGGATACTTGTGAATGACAAAGCTGGTTGAAAGTTTTCAAATTTCTGTGATAATTCTACTATACCTTATTATTCCAAGGAGTATTTTCAATGTTCATTTTCATCCAAACAGGTCCTTATTATGTAGTGGAATACCAGATGGTACACACAGAGTATAAAAATGTAGAAGGTATATTTTAGGTTGGCTGCCAATTTACAGCAGATGATTGGGAGACAGTAATGAGTTATCTACTTACAATGAATGCTTGACAGCATGTATTGTACATCACAAAACATGAAAAAATCTTGTATACCCTTCTAGATATGGCAAGGTAGATTAAGTATTAGTAAACTATACAATTAAATATAAATACATACATGTTAGTAGTATACTTATTTTAAAATTACAATATAGGGACAGAATCCTTATTTGAATATAATCTTATGTAATTATTTGATATAAATGCAATGTCATACAAGAGTTGGATGGACAAGAATTACAAAACAAATACAAGAGTCAGACAAGAATTACAAAACAAATACAAGATTAACCAAGTATTCCAATAACATTAGAAGTCACTACAAGTAAGTGGAAATTATCATAGCTACTAATATTGTTCTTGATTTCTTAAATACTTGGAAGTTTTTTCCGCCTAGCAAGATAAACGTCAGAAAATCAACAAGTCCATTTTCCCACCAACTAAAGTGATCACGTGTGTGTTGGTTTTTACTTACTGTTGCAGTGCCCCATGTGGTCAATTTAAGAGCATTCCTCATATTATTATTTACTACAGCTGTTTTATAACACAAAAAATTTGTAATTATATATTAAAACATCTTAGCTAAAAAATGTTGGTTTTATTTTTGTAAAATATTAATAAATAAATATTTTATTGATTTTACAAAATGACAAGTTAAAAAGTGTGCTTTGACGCGTCTGACCCACATGTGGACACCCCGTGGGAAGGGAGACTTAGACAGATCTGCACACGCATACAGACTTAACTAATAACTTCAATCCTATCCAGACCAATTTA